TGCATGCTTTTGCTCTTCAGAATTTAAAAAATCCTGGCCCCTTTTAATTCTTGCGAACAAGATGTAATAGCGGTCACGTTTGGTAAGTTGTTCCTAAGAGGGATTAATATATTTTGTGGTTATGTCACTCTTCTTCCTCTACTTACATCACTGTAAACATTACCATTTAAGAGGCACAGCTGGGGGAACATAAGTCACCCTCTGCTCTCTCCTTCCATTGTAAAGATATATATGGCTTCTCTTTTCAGCTCTGTTGTTACCATACTAGAAATGTGGCTTTGGCACCACTGCAGGTCTCGTATAACATAACTCAAATTCAAAGAAACACTTGGGATCCTTTCGGAAAGATGAACCAGGGCACATTACCTGGAGCATAGCTCAATGAAATACCATGAATTCTGCTTTTGTTCCTGAACTGTGGCCCTGTCGGTACCGTCTTCTCAATGAAATTAAAATTTGAAAGCAAGCCATCAGAATTACCTTTGTGGGTACAAATTAGGTATGAACATATGTTCTGTTCCCAGCACGTGAGCTATCAGGAGTCTTACACCATGGTGAGAGATTTAGGTCCCAATCATCTGGGTCTAGGAGTTTGTTAATTTATTTTCTGGGCCTCATCTGCAATGCAGCAGTCAACCCATGTCATAGCCCAAACCCCTTCCTACTCTGCACAGCCCAGAACGGGAGACCTCTTAACAGGATTACTGCAACTGTTTCATTTCCAGAAGCACCTAACGACTTGAATTACTCCACCACGTTAATTGGGAGCCATCGCTGTACGCCATATATACCTCTGCGTTTCCTTCTCTGCCCTGACCTCGAGATAGTCAGGCTGTACCATGTTTGCGGACTCTATTTTCCACCATCTATTCTGTTTCCTTGCCATATAAACGCCATTTGAGGAGAAACCCAATTAACTTAACTGCTTTGCTGAGTAGGACCGAGCTTACATATGTGTTACATAGATGTTTTATTGGGGCCAGCATCCCTTCTGAAGATGCTTCTGTTGTGCTTTTATTGCTGTGTAGCATACACTGCTTACAATATTCATTTTGTTTTGAGCATGCAGAAGGGTATTTAAGTGAGTCTGACAAGAGATTTAATTAACGCTTACTAGGTATTTTTTTTTTTAAACTTCTAGACGTTTCTCTGTCCAGCTGACAGGACATGCATGCGGCGCGGCGCAGCACTGTATTTTCAGACACAAGCAGGAAGAAACAAAGTATTAATGTTGACAGTTTAAAAAAAAAAAAAAAAATAGAAGAAATTCCTTCCAAACTTTCTCATGCCCTGATGTGAAGGGGTTGAATGTGCATGTTGCCTTCCGGGAGAACTGGTGTCATTTCCTCAAATGGGTGAAAGACCAGAACATTTTAACCCGCAGCGCACCGTGGAAGCAGTTTTACACGTCTCTGTTCTTAAAGGAGATTGACTCACTGTGATCTTTAGTCATTTGATTTAATTTAAGAGAAGAGTCATTAAAAAGTCTGTTGCAAGAAATTCACCCCTGCCTTGCCCAGAAGCTATTCTGATTTATTTCCCTAATAAAATTACCATCATTATCCTCTGCCTTTAATCCGTCTTGGTTCTTGTACGAAGGCTTCAGATCCACCTTCTGTTTTCATCATACAGTGACCACAAAGCAGATCAGAGTTGGGTTTTTTTTTGTTGGGTTGGGTTTGTTTTTTTTTTTGGCTCCTTATTTGCAGGCCCATATTGTTTGAACGTCTCCCCCTTAAAGTCTCTCACTGGGCAAAAGGCCTTAAACTTAAAGGCTAACCATTATTTGAAGGCTCTGAGGTCCCATCTTTTCTTCTTTCATGGGAAGCTTTTTAAAGAAGCAGCATGGACTATTACAACTGCTGTGCTTGTGGTTTATTTAGCACTATTCTTCAGAGCACTCCTCCTCCTCCTTTTAATCTGTTGCTCAGCAAAAAGATGACCATGTAAAATACAAATGTCACCGTTCACATTGGTCTGCAGAGCTGCAGAACGTGGTCAGTCGATTCGGGATGCGCAGATTGCGTAGTAGATGGAAGCCTTGGTGTCGTGAAAGGGGCTGCTGTAAAGCAATAAAGGAGTAAGGAGATGCTGGAATTTCAACAGCTTGAGTATAGTGTAGTTCAACCCTTTAGGGTTTTCCCTTTTTTGCACTTCGTGTCTTTGAATCAAATGCTAAAATGCAGTTGCTGATAGGGACTGGCAGGTGTGGACTTTGCCGGTTGTTAAAACGAAATGCCGAATGGTCACCATTTGGTGCACAGGACCCAAACACCGCTCGTGAGGTGCTCTGTAAGGATAGGCAGCTGTCCTCTGGTTTTAATTCGCCTTGCAAATTCTTACGTTACATGCCATGGCTTTGGGTTGGATCTCTTCAGACTCGGATTATGTGAATAAATAAAATAATTTTTTAGCTGATTGTAGACTTTATAAATGTTATGACAGATACTTCATACAAGGTTAGATTTTTAGGAAAGGATAGGATTAAACTTTTAGGATGGGAGAGGTAGGTACTGAGGTCCTTTGAAGGACACTGTCACGCTTGACTGTTGAGTCTCTGCCTGGCTTCTGGCTTGCACCACGACTCTGTAGCTGTGGGAGGAACGCTCCGTGTGACCCGACTGGTTGGGTTCGTTCAGCTGCAGTTTAGGGAATGCCCTGAGCAAGAGAGGAGAAAAAAAGGCTTCAATTTCTAATTCTGGAAAATAGAAAAAGGTATTTAAATAAGGCCTGGAGGACTTCTTATTTGCCAGAAGTAAGTAAAAAGGCAAGTTTATATCCTTTTGTAATTCACCCTAATTGAAAGGATGTATATTTCTTTTCCTAAAGTCAGCAGAAAAATCCTGGCCTCTTAATGATGAAAGACTTTTTTTTTTTTTTTTTTTTTTTTTTTTTAAACTTTCTCCTAAGCACAAATAGCTGAAGTTTCCACTTTAAACTTGGGTGGCTCATTCATATTTCACTTAATGGTAATATGGTATCCTCTCTCTCTCCCTCCCTCTTCTTACCACCAAGGCTAAAAAGGAGGAGGGGAGATATAAAATGTTTCCGAAAATTACAGGAAATGTCTGTTCCTTTAACAGCATTGCCAGGGAATTTCCAAATGTGCTTAATGCTTATGGCTGAACTTGCAGCAGCTCGGTCTTCAACCATGAGTGGATCCTGTTCTAAAAATGAGGCACCTCCTTCCAGTAAACTGTGTTGAAATTAAGTATATGCTTTGTTTCTCCTCTGCTCTTCAGCAAAATGAATTGTGCCCAATGGTGAAATGAGGGCTCTTGGGGGCTGCTTTAAAATCGTGATCCACTTCTGTTCGTTAAAGTGGGAAAAATAGTACACAGTTTCCTGAGGTGGTAGCTAGTTTATATGTAAGGACTTTGGAGAGGCACGGATAGCAGGTACTAGTGAATGTGAAGACTACCTGGCAGTTTTCAGAGGGACTTCAGAAACTGCATATGAAGCACTAAGGAACAAAATGGGAGATGGTTTTTGTCCAGGTACTTCGTTTCCTTGGGCTGTCACAAGGTGGTCTCTGATCATAGGGTCTTGCATCTAGGCAGAGCCTAATCGGTGTTAAGCACTAGGTTAGTTTTCATTTCCAGGGATGAGATTAGAAAAGGGGATAGCGCCAAATATGATGAGTAGGATGAGCTTTTTCTTCGTTTTCCGTTGTCTTCTGCCGGGCTTCTGCTGCTGGACTGGGGAAAGGAGCAAGGGAGATCTGCAGAGCCTCTTCCTGGTGCCCAAAAGGGTGTCTGCCAGCTGGAGCAGGCAAGGGGAGAGATGGACCTGGCACAATCTTCAGCAGATCTCATCCACCTCTCTGCCCTGTTGCTCTCACATGTGTATGCCAATGTGCTAAGGATGGACAAGTGAGAGGATCTCCAGCTCGGGACCTTCCAGGGACCAACATGCGGGTCTCAGTCAAGGTGTCCATCCCAGTGAGCAAAGCATGGTTGGGTAGCAAACTCTTTAATTACCTCTCTGAAGGGCTCCAGCCCCGTGTTCTACTGTTGGCATTTGCAAGGTTTTTAGAGCAGTTGCCTAAAGACAGAGTGGTGATTCTTGTAGCTTCTTTCCTTGCGAGACGATGTGGGGTTTGAATCTGTTCACTGACCGTCATAATGTGCTCGGCCCAGTGGCTCTCCATGGTTGTCATGTCGTTTACTACGTGGTTCAGAGCCACTCCTGGATTTCATAATAAGGCGGTGCTTGGCAATAATTTATTATCATGGTTTATGTTACAGTGCTTAAGTGGAGCTGTCAACTCTTGATAGCAATGATTTGAATCTTGGTTTTAGCTGCCCAGGAAACAGTTTGGAATTGACACTAATGTGTTTATTTTTACTTCCTCATCTTAAGGTTATAATTTAATTTGTTCACGTAGGAACAGCAGGTGCCTTGTATAGAGGTTGTATGGGTATGACTATACGTAATGGTTGGTGATGCCAGTCTTACCAGTTTCCAGTGCTGGCTTTTTTAGTGTGTAGTGAGGTGTGATTAATTACCTGAGATGTTCTTTTTCGTTAGTCTTTGTCCATGCTGTAATCAGACTAATTTATGGCAATCTTCTATATTAATAGATACTGAACAAGAGTTTGTGAATTTGCTTGAATTCATGCAAATATATTGCCTGTGAATGCTACTTAGAGATGAATTTTGTAGCAGGGAGATGTGTCAAATTGTTTGGAAGGCTGTTGTTGTTTTTTTATTTTATTTGGTGGTTGTTGTTTTAAGAATCTCCAACTTCTTTTTTTTTAAAGGTGGTGGAGAGATTTGCCATGGTTTTTTTTCTTTTCTTTTAGAAAATCAGTGTAATGTAATTTTCTATTTGAGACCCTTTCAAATTAAATGGATGCTAGCATTTATAGATCTCTTCTCACCTAGGTTTTCATGTGTTCGGGGGAGTTTTACAGCAAATAACTATTTTTTTTTTTTTACTTGTAATAAAGATTATTTTTTTTTTTTTTTAATTTTCCTATGTTTAGGTATTTCCCTCTGCTGGCCTTTGTATGTGGACCACCCTGTGTCATCCTGTTCAGCCCATTTGAATTTTGACTTAAATGTAGGTGAGTAATTGCTTTTGACATGAAACAATAATGGATTCATATAATAGTACTCCCGAATTTTCAGTGGCTTTGACTTGGAAATCATACAGGGAGAATAACCTTTCAAAATTCCATTGAAACTTTTCCTGGTTGCCTTGTGTCCCAGGCAATAGGAAGCTAAAAATGTTTATCTATCGTAGCATTTGTTTGGAGTGGATTAGGTATGCCATGAACCTGCACTGAAAACGTATTTTGAAATGGAAAGAGCTCCTTGCTTACATGGGTGGAGAAGGGAGTCCCTAAATAAAGTCTCTGAGCTGTTGGATAGCTGTTGGATGTAACACGCCAACAGCATGTTCTAACGCTTCCATGAGGTCACGTTCTATCAGTTAGATTTCCCTGCTATAACACGTAATAAATGTTTATTATTTCACAGTGAATGTCAAAGAGGTTGGCTTCTTGGTAAATGCAAGTGATGGTAATCTGGCTCATTGCTTAGAGTTGGTAATGATGCATGGTTAATATTTGCAAGAACATTGCACATATTTGAGGGCTAATTGAGTAGGTCACCAAAACGTGGTGTTTTGGCAGTTTGTTTTGGTTTGGGTGTTTTGTAGCAGAAAGAACTATATTATTTAAAATACCACTATTTGTATAAAAAGCAGTATCTTACCGTTATCTAAATGGAAGGTCCACTCATCTTGCTTAGCCCAGCTATCTTAGAATGCTAGTGGTAAAAATGTCACTGAGCAGTAGGTGTAGGAATAGAGAGAGCTTAAAAATCTAAACTGGAGGTGGTTTATGCAGCTTATTCCTGGGAAGCTGATTGCCTTTCTGGCTCTATCTCCATGCCTCAGTTCTCAGATAAGTGAGCACTAATGAAATGAGGTGACTTTTCCTTAGAACTAGTAATCAAAACTGAATAAGTAATTAGTCAGGTAGGCTGAAGGGCAATAGAGCACTAAACAGAAAATTCTCGTTCGTCTATTTTTTTCCAATGGATTATACTTGCCTTTTTAATGAATGTACAGTGTGTAATCTAAAATGCATGTGGCTGCTGCTTCTACAAGAAAGAGAAAATTAACACTATTCCATTTTGACTGCATATATACATCTAAAGTACAGTTGTGCTGAAAGTAGGAGAGGAGGGAGCAGCCATTCTGATCATACAGATAAGCAAAGGAAAGCAGGGTGACATTCCTAAGATTGCTTCTCTTTTATGAACATGGTACATAAGTGACCTTTAAAAAAAAAAAAAAAAAACCAACTATGTGTTTCTATTCAAATGACTTCCTTGCTGCTCTCCACTCTTGCACCAAAGTGGAGTGTGCTGGGGAGGGTGGGGGAAAGTCTGTGTTCCCAACCTACGTGAGGAAATGATGTGCTTATGAGATGATGACGCTTGAGTCATCTGAAAAGCCAAAAGACATCCTCATTCCCCTCACTTGAGGAACACGAGCCCTTGTTAACACAGCTCTTTTAAATCACAGGCATTTGTAATCTCACTCCTGTGTGGCCTGCACAATGGCAGGCAAGACATAGGCTTGTTGTAACCTCCGTTATGTTTTTTTTCCCAGACTTTACACTTCATTACACAGTTGTTGATCTCTGAAATGTGTTGCCTTGCTTGCTGAATTCGGAGGAAGTGTAGCCATGCCCCACTTTCACTGGGAAATCTTACTTCCCTTGTGTTGCAGAGGCTCTTTGTGTTTCTCACTACTGATGAGTAGCAACTTGAGCAAGGATCGAGGCCCTCTCCTTGATAGTCACTCAGTCTCTGGTAGCACAAGCATCTGTCCAGAACAACTTTTATTTCCATCTTTCTGAGGCTGGTGAGGGAATGCTGTGGTTGTCATAGATGTTGGAGGGGGGGGCGTGGAGAGGGGAGGGGGGAAGATCTCGCAGGAATGGGAGTTCACCCTGTGATCCCTAGGTCAGGAGTTCCTCTCTGATGCAGGAGTTCTTGCAGGCTTGTTTGGAGAGTATCACTTGTGGCTGTGGTGGTAGGGAACTGGTACTGATGGTATTGGCACCGGCTTTGAACCACTGGCAACTCCCAGCTCAGTAACACTGAAGCCAAATACTCCTTTGAAAACAGCTGATGTGCCAGCAGTGGCATGTGTCCTACAGTTTAGGAACTCCTACTTCCGTGTTTTGATACAGCTTTAGGGTTTCTTTTTTTGTGCTGGTGTCCATCCTGAGAAACAAGAAAGGGAGTTTGTAGGGGAAGATAGTGGTTTTGCTCATCTGTGCATGTGTTTGCCTCTAGAAAGTGGAAAAATATGTGGTTTTAAAAATCAACTCTCTCAAGTGTCTCAGGCCGAGTATGCAAAAGCTGCCCTTCAGGACCTTCTAATCTTCAGATGCTGTAAAGTTATTTTGTTGGTGTTTTGCCATGCAGCAGTAACATATGTGGGAGCATTGCTGTAGGCACCTGACAAAGCAGGCATTAGTGACGTCAGGAACAAAACTGCTGAGTGTTTATGACACCAAGGTTCAACTTCAAGGTTATCGTCTTACATGAGGTAGAAGTCTGTCAGAGATTGTAGCAAGGCTTCTAGAATTCGGCTCTCTGCCAGTTCCTTAACCGAAGTAGAATTAGAGTGTTGTTCCGAAAGGTTTAAAAAATATATTCTTGCTGCATCTGCCTCTTTAAAAATACTTGCTATCATATGAGACAAAGCCTGAGGTAACTCAAACAAGCATCCTGCTACGATGTAAGGGAATTGCTTGGAGTCAAACTGGTAGAAATAGAAATTAGGAGCGGATACAAAATGTGAGTTACTTTGACTGAAGAATCAAACACACAACTAAAGTGCCAGGTTTCCAGTTCTGTGGTTGCCTGCTTTGCTCCAGCTGAGCCATTTGGATTGGGACAGGAATCTCTGTCGCAAGGAGGGATCTTGTAGTTCTGTGGCAGCATTACGCATATGTATTGGAGATCCACAGTTGTTTGCATGGAAGATAGTAGGGTTTTTGTAGTTTTGGTTCTTTAAACAATATGGAGAAACTGTAAAGATACCAGGCAGGTGTGGAACAGATCCTTCTCATTTCACAGTGAGTTAGAAGTTTAATTTTCTTTTTTAAAAGAAGAGGTAACAAGCAGTGCCACATGTTGCAGTCCATCTACAAGGAGGAAGAAGCCATGCAGTATTACCAGCGTGTATGCAAGTGACTTCATACAGTATTCTCATAGCTCAATTACAGCTCACTTTTTGGTAATCCCGATTTCAGTGTAGTCATGCTATGACTAAGATGGTTTCCTAGCTTGAAGATCAGCAACATAATGGCCTATTTAGGGCAAAGCATTATATTGCATCATTTTATGAGACTCTCTGATGTCAATACATACCATTGCGATCCAAGTCACAAGTAGCACAGCAGAAAGAGAACAATCAAGAAATGGACTTTTGCCTTTCTACAAACTACGATTAGAAATGAAACAGGTATTTCAACACCTCATGGTAGCTGAATGGCAAGAGCCGTCACCTGGAGGGGGAGGAGAGCTCTAGTGTTTACCTACAGCAGGAGCCTGCCAGTTTCGCTTGTTTAGATAGGTCACAAGGAAGAATCCCAAAGTCTGATAGTACCAGAAACAGAGAACTAAAACCAAAACAAAAACCTGTAATTGATAAAAATGTTGTTCCTCCCCTGCCCAATGGAGCTGTTCCTGTCAAAATAGGATTTCAGTCACCGTAACGTGAGGCGACATTGCTGTGAAGTTTATTAATTTCAAGCCATGGGCAGATGCTTTCAGAAACTTAACACATAGCTATATGTTAAGGTAATAGTGTTATTTAGAAGGATTCTTGACTGGTAGCCCCCTTGTCTTATGTTCTTTACATGCTCTTAACGCAGTCACCATCTATGACTGGTTTGAGTTCTTTTTAATGGTCTTCTGAAACAAACTTTTATCATATGAGAGTGAAGGCTGAGACAGCGAGCAGTAAGCATTTAGAAGATAAGAAATATACCCAAACTGAAAGTTGCAAATTAAAGATTATGTATTTTTATCAGCCTCCGTTTTAGAGTTCTGTAGTTTCTCAGCTGCTTTATTTTCCTGTTATTACTTGGACTTTAAGTCAGCAATTTAGCCATCAAAACAAACTGTCTAGTTCATGAACAAACTGTCTAGCTCACAGAAGAGCTAGAGCCAATTCCCACTAGAGCCAGTGGAAAAGTTTTCATTGAGTTCAGTGGGTTTGGTATCTGGCATCCTTTGATACAAATAGAAGTGAACCAAAATTCATGACAGGGCATGTTAAGAGAAATAAAAAAAAAATAAAAATGCAGAACTACTTTTTTTCTCTCTGAAAAAAAAATGGACACAACTATCAAGTTTCACTTTTTCCCCCCTTGCATAATGGCATAGTCTTTTGATACCTTCCAGCCTGCCTGCAGAGAGCCTGAGGCCAGTATATAATGACTGCTCTTTGAGGAGCCAACCAGGTTGCAAATATAGGTGGGTTTTTTTAATAGGTTTAATTAAGGCTTGCTATAGTAATTTTTCCAATAATTTTTGTAGTTTAGAGCAATATGCATTTCACTGCTGTTCACTTCTGTTATCTGGACAGGCTTAAAAGCACTGGCTCTATAGCAGTAGAGTCAGGGCAAATAGAAAATCACCTTTTGTCATTCTAATGGCTGTTCATGTAAAACCTGGTGTTTTTCTTGTTTTGCTACATGAAACTCACAAAATAAGTTTCTTCCAGTTTTCTTTTTTGGGTTGTTAAAGTGAAGTTTGTACTTTTTTCAGAATTGAATTCATTTAAGATTCTGTGTGTTTAGATTTGTATAATATATCTAATGAGTAAAACATGTGCTGACCTGGGATTTCCCCTTGCCAAACACAACTGACCTGTTGTTGTAACAGGACTTTTAATAATCATTCAATAATATCTATAAATTAGTTTGAATTCACGACTCCTCTTGAAATTAAGATATACAACAAACATTTCACACTGAAGAATGTATAATTATTTTATAAGTAAAATGGAAGGTTTCCAGCTGAACCTATTAAACTGAGGATGTAAAACCACTTTTTTCAAAATATGTAAAATCTTCATCCCCATATGTACCCGTATGTGCATTAAGAATACAGGAAAATGTATCCTCATAACTTGCTTCTGTTTACAAATGTTTTGCTGCCTCAAGAGTGTCAGTCAATTGGATTTTTATTTTCTTCGTCTGGCCACTTCAGTTTTGTGGCAGTTGTGTTACTTTGCTTTGTCCCAGCCAGCAGAAAGCAGAGGCAGCAAGGCTGCTTGGGTTACGGGCTGGGTGGCACGGGCCAGAACCCACGTTAAGACTCACTGGAAGGTATGCGTTGCCTTGTGCAAGAGGTGTTGCATAGTTTTGTGACCTAAAATCGCTTCCCCAAACAGGAAAAGGGAACGCAATGGTGTGAGACATGCAAACTGGAGAAATGTGGTTTCTTGCTGAGCCGGCTTTATCCTGATTTGAGCCCAGGTTGCTCATTTCCAAACAGTCTGCCATACTAACGAGGCGGCAAACTCTGTCAGGTTTGTCCTTCCCTGTATGGCTCTAACCTGTGAGCTCCGCCACCTTTGGCTGAAGAAGCCACCACCCTCAGCCATCTCCTCTTGCTGGAGTCAATTACCGAGGCAGCTGAACGTGTGGCTTGCATTTCCTCCAGAGCTGTGTTTGCAGCCTTACGTAGACGGCCGTCACTGTAAATATCCGTGACTGCACAAAGGTACCCAGTTTTGAACTGTGGGAGCAAAGCAAGTTGACTTGTGTTTTCTGTTGGATCTATAGCTGCAGCACTGTATGCACTGAAATGCAGCTCAGTCCCTTATGGATGAAGCCCCGTGGTGGCTCCTTTCCGAGGAGTGTTCCTACAGGGACTTGTTGCATCAAAGCGTATTTTGGGAGCCTCTGAAAAGCCTGAGGACAGCTGTGAGGCAGTAGTACAAATAGGTGGTGAAACATGTCAGGTGTTTTTACTGCTCTGCTGCTGCTGCCGTTTTGGCTGATGTGGGTCAGATGCTGTCAGAACCCAATTTTACAAAAGTATGGTTTGCTTCAGATGTTATTTATCATGTGTGAAAACCGTAATGGTCCTCACCTTACTGTCCTACCTGCTCCAGAAGGGTCAGAGACAGTGCTCACTGCTTTACCTTTCAGTAGTGTATTCACGAGGCCTCTGTTCCACGTCTGGTGGTTAATTGAAATAAAATGCTCGTGTCCTGATGTAGCACCTTGTTCTTCTGGTTTCTGTCAACCATGTTCTTAAAGGAGAGTGGTGGATGTAAGTTTTGTCCTTTCTTTTGTACAGTTTCAGTTCCCCAAGACTTGCAGTGCTCTTTTGTGAAATGCTTTCCAAGGCATTAAACTTTAAAAATGTATCTTAACTAATTTTACAACTTCTTCCTCAGTGGTGAAGTGCTGAAACGCATCTAATTAGTTTTGCTATTGAAAGGAATCCCATGATTTAGGGCAGTATCTCTTAATTGTATTCTAACAAAGTCTGGTGAAGAACCAGAGCTAGTGGCAACAAAAGTCTGCAATTAAGACAGGGTACGTTGCCTGAAATACAAGATAATTGTCCCGGCAAGATCATTGGAATAGATTCAGAGGCTGTAGTGGCAAACGTTCTCTCGAGGTGTTTGGCATTTACAGCAGAGAGGGGAACTTCTCAGGGTTATATTTATTATATGGTACAGACCACTGTGCAGTTAGCCTTGGAGTTGAATGTTTTGTTCTGCAAACTTTCCTGGCCTCATCTGGTTTATGGTTTGTTTTTTTTTTATCTTCCCCTTCTTACAGGCTCTTAGTCTGGTGTAAAGCTGATGGGTGGGAGCAAAGGTAAAGAATGATGTAATGCAGCGGCAGCCAGAAAGCATCTTTTGTTTGAATTGTGAAATGGCTACTCCATAGTCATCTCCCGATGAATCAGATGTGAGGGGCTGCTTTGTGGAACGAACCCTTTGTAACGGCACATCAACTGGAAGCAGGAGGAGACATTCAGTTGAAGAGCTCTTTCTGAAAATGGGTTTAACTTTTCTTTTGCCAGTCACTACCAGCATGACCTCATACACTTCTAGTACAATGGTGTGGCTAAGCCTTTGAGTACACAGCCATTACATCATCGCAGCAAATTAAGAGAGGGAGGTGGTGAAAGAGGCCTTATTGTTGTCATGGCCGATGAGATGATCAGGACTCAACTCATTGTCGCCGAGAAGTTGGTGGCTTTGCTGGAGAGTGGTACAGAAAAATTGCTGCTGATTGATAGCCGCCCCTTTGTGGAATACAATACGTCCCACATCTTGGATGCCATCAACATCAACTGCTCCAAGCTTATGAAGCGGAGGCTGCAGCAGGACAAAGTTTTGATTACAGAGCTTATTCAGCATTCAGCGAAACACAAGGTAGGGGTAATTTTCCTGTTATTCCTTGTATTTGTTTAAGAGAGTCCCTGGAAAGCCACTTGTAATAATTTTCCCTTAGGTATTTTGTTTTAAACAAACAATTTTTAAAAAAAAATATATTGGGGGACTGAGTTTTGCTGAGCTCTTAACCTGATTTTAAAAGGCTATTGGTTACTATTGAGTTTATCTTTGGGATTTTTTGTAGCCTGCTCTCCCCTAAGTGACAGAGTAATGGGGAGGGATTTAGAAATTACTCAGAAGGAATGCTCTCAGGGTTCTTGTATGTCTTGCAAAGCACAGTCCCTTAAATATATGTAATTAAAGCAGGAAACATTCTCATTCTAAACTTTGAAGGATTCTTTGGCGTCTGTGGTGGGGGGGATCACTTAGCAAGTGGTTGTGCAGTTTGCAAGGAAACTAGTTCTGTCAATCCTGGCTCTTACTTGCTGTTTAAAATACTTCTCGTGTGAGTAGTTTGAGGTTTTGGTTATTGTGTTTTAGTTGTGGGTGTTTTTGTAATAGTGGTACTAGTGAAAAGAAAATAGCTAAGCTGTTTAATGTGTATCTCTCTGTCTTTTGGTTTTTGATCCATTGGTATTTGTTTCAGATGTCTTGGTTACAGAAGTAATCTATTACATTCTTGCTTTGACATGTTAAAAACTGAAGCCTTTTATTATTACTACTACTACTACTACTGTCTAAAGCATGTTGAATACGCAAAGTTGTATAGATGGCTAAAATGTGGGGGGGGTTAGGCAGTTTAAGGTCTCTTTACTGTTTATACAGAAAAAACCCAGAAGCAGAAACTGAGGTAGGGTCTTTTAAGAAGCTTAATTTTTAAACAAAGCAACCAACCTAGCTGAAAGTAAAGCTTTTTCCAAGTGATATACAGTCACCTAATGGTAGAAATTTACAGAGTGTGCTTCAACTCGGAGCAAATAATTTACAAACTATCAAAGGAATTAAGTCTTGATCAGGCATATTAAATTAGAAAATAAAAACTGTTTTGCGTACAGCTGCGTAAGAAATCTGTATATCTGAACTGCTGCATAGCAAATATGTGGGAACCCTGATGCAGGTAATAATGTGGGGCCTTTAATCGTCTTCCTCCTTCCTATCTTACTCTGAATTATTTGTGTTTCAGATTGAAATTGATTGCAAGCAGGAAGTGGTGGTGTATGACCAAAGCTCTAAAGATGTGACCTCTCTCTCATCTGACTGCTTTCTTACTGTGCTCCTGGGCAAACTGGAGAAGAATTTCAGCTCTGTGTATCTGCTTTCAGGTATGATGTACCAAGAAAAAAAACCAAAACACTCGAATAAGGAGAAGAAAGGAAATGCTAACGTTACAGGTGACGTGAACGCAATTTTGCAGCAGTGCTGTTATACACTTCAGTTATAGCATAGCTTTTCCTGCGGCTCTTTATGCGTATAGTGACACTCATAATACATACAATGCTCAGAAATTCCATCTTACAGGGGATCTATTACACCATTTGTACGGTGTAAATGGAAATTGATCAATACAGGGTTTTTTAGATGTGTATATCGCTATTTTAGGGTCAAAAATAGTGAAAGAAATATGCTTCCCTGGTCTTCTAAATATGAGACATGCTAGCAGGAAAATCTCTTCCTTGCTGAATTGGTAATTACTACAGCAAGAACAAGAGAAACGATCTCCCGGAGTTATGGAGATTATTCTGTATGGCTTTTTAAGCTTCAGCTCCTTAAGCAGTAGCACTCTATTTAGGTCTTCTCCCTCAACCCCACCATTTTTTTTTTTCCTTCCTTTGCGCCTTATTTTTTTAAAATCCCAGGTCAAAGCATCCATAGAAATTCAAGTCCTTATAATACAGGATTTGTTGGTGTTAACGTGTGCTTGTGTTGTTATTTCTGTCATGGAACAGTAGACCCAGTGTTCACAAGAAGGAACAAGGCGGGGCATGAAGTAGATCCAGGGCTGAAAGAAGAGGGAATGACGAATACAAGTAGGAAATCCCTTGCAGTGACTCGATCAGTGATCTAATGAAGTGTGCGTATATAGTCTCTGAAATGTTAAAACTACAGTCAGAGACTGAATAATGATGAGGAGAAGGAAAAGAACTCCAGAGAGATGCTCCCTCTTAGCAAGAAGGCTTCACTGAGGTTTGCAGTGACTTCAGATGAAAGCGATAGGAGGTGGTTGTGTGAGAGTACTTTTCCCAAATTGTTTTGAAAGTGAGTACAGAGAAAATGAGTAATTTCTGCACTTGGACAGGTGCACTTGGTGCTCATGTGAGCTGTACTTACAGAAAACTAAGTAGGATTTTGCTTTAACTATGTGTGGTGCTTCTGTTTTCTTTCTTAAGAATTACAACTGTGGGTTGTGTGCTACGGTATTAGATTAAGTAACTCCTCTTTCATATGAGCCACCAAGTAGATGTGTGGTGTCTAGGCACAGTGAATGCTTAATGTAAGATTGCTGAAATATGTGGTTAATACTCCCTTAAATTTAAAACTGTTATTTAAAAAATAGGCCAGTCTAGAAGCAGTTCATGCCTCTTAAGAAATCCTTTTGTTGCTTGAATACCCAACGCTGCTCATCTGTCCTGTGTTGGTTTTTTTTTAATAACCAGAAGTGTACTATAGCTCCATGCAGCAATACAGAATATTTGCAACTTAATCTCCATGGTGGAAAGAAACACAGCTATCTAATAACTAAGCATTAGACCTCATGGCAGGGAGGAGTTGGGGGGTGGATCTGTAATAAGGTCAAGCAAAGGAGACTACCGCTTCCCTTCCTTCTACTGTCCCTCTACAGATTAGTTGTGTAAGACATGGCTTTGACCATCTTTTTCCCTCTGCAGGATGTTGTGAAGGGAGGTGGGCAGAGTGTCTCCATCCTCAGACTTGCCCATGGCTCCCGTAGGAATGGGCAGTACTGGGAAGGGAGCGTTCCCCAGCTCCTCAGTGCATACTCTGGGCAAACTGCTTCGGTGCACGTATCTTCATGATATTATGAAAAATCGCTTTTTTTTTTTTTTCTTTATTTCTAGCATGTGGTGGTTGTCTGTTCAAGCTGAAAATGAACCACATGCAAGATACTAGTGCACATTAGCTAGCGGAGGTGAACTTAGCCACGTGCAGCTGGTAAGGATTAGTTTGGGTGTTAGAGGGAGAGAAAGGGAATCTAATGTGTTTAAAACACTCCTTATAGAGAGCAGGATTTTTATTTTAGCATGTCAAATTTATTTCTTTTAGCAAAGATTAGATTTGAGAATTTTGTCTTATTTTTGGTTAAATAGCCAGTGATGGGGGTATTTGTGAATGCAGAAACAACTGATGGCTTTAAAACCAGTGGTAGAGGAATATAAGAACAAAAGGGAAATGTAAGGAAAGTGTTTACTAGTGATCTATTACAGTTAAGTGCTTATTTCAGGAAATACACCCAACTAAAATGGATCGGTAGTAAAGCAGTTAATGTCGACTCTATTCCTTCAGTTCTCTGGCGTTTCCTCTTATTATGAGTTTGCTCTGATTTTAATCCTTACATAAGAAAATACCTTTCACAGCCCTGTTGTTTTCTTACATCTATTAAAAAGCTAGCTACTTACACACACACACACACACACACACACACACAAAAACCCCTTTTGGGATGTGGGGTGGTGGAGTGGAGGAGAAGGTGCTAGATTCAGTCTTTATAGAAAGTTCCTTCAGGCTATTGATACATGGCTCTAGGAAAGGAGATAAAATGTCTTGTCTCAGCAAGCTGATGACGCACTCTGCTTAACGTTTATGGCCCATAATGAGAGTAGGGGTCAGTGCATCGCGTAAAAAGAAGAACCTTTGGACTTGAGTCTTCTCTCTGCCACTCAATCTGGTTTATTTAAAATCGTGACCTTAAATAAACATTTTAGGGTAGGAAAATATTTTTTGTTGAGATAGAATAAGGAGCAATTAACAAATATCTGAAATTCCTGCATCTGTTCTTCCTGCCTCCCCCCATTGCTGAGCACTCAGTGAGGTGTTTTTTTATTTAGATTGCGCATAAAGGTATGCTTTGCCCTGGAGGTTGTTTTTCACTGAAGTAACTAATGTAAAGACCTCAAAGGAACCCTTACCAATTAGTTTAAGCTCTTGATCTAACCTCATAAAAATATTTATAATCTGGTGGGGAAAGTTTTCTGGAATTTAAATATTTGTTTTGGTTCTTAATTTTTAACAGTGCGCAAAATACTGAAATGTGGGTACTAAAGGCTTAACCCCACTCCCATCATTGCATCTACTCCACAGAGTTAAATAAGATTTAAACACAGGGATGTGACTTGATTCCTTCTCTTCCCATATTTTGAGAACTGGATATACTTTTATGGAGTCCTTTTCCTAGTTATAGTATTTTTATGATGTTTCTGCTTGCTCTGTAGAAACAGTTAAGAGCAACTACTGATTCTTGCATGATGAATTAGCATTATTAAGGCAGTAAACGCCAAGAGCCCTGCTTAAATTCTATTCCACTATGCCAATGGAAATAATTCATGTTTTACTTGCTCTTCCCTACTTCTCTTAATCTGTTTTACTCCTACTCATGCAAGCACAGATGTCTTTACGATTACCTTCCAAATGGTGCCTGTGATGAAGATGAAGCACAGCTTTTTGTGGGGGGTGGAGGGGTGTATTTTTATACAGAAGACTCATGCTAAAGAGATGCATTTCTGAAAAACCAGACATGCCTACCTTTCTGCATTTCCAACCTGAAATTAAAAATTGTAATAGCCTGACACAGAAACACTGTGCTGGCTCTGAACTGAAACCAAAAGCAAGAATTCTTGTACTTGGGTAGATGTGGAGCAATGGTAAATGTCCAAGGACTAGCTAAACTTCAGAGTGCTGTAATGCAGCACCATAAAAACACTTTCACTGAACTCTCTAAGATTTATTTTTTTTTTAGTGCTGCAAGACCAGAGCGTATTTTGCCAGCAAACCATGCAGGATGTATTTTTCTGTCAGTCCCTGAATTGCCACTTCGACTTGATGTACCACAGTATTCAATGCCACTGAGAACAACCAATATGGAAAACTTACATAATGTACCAGATTATGAGGTGTATGGGCAGAAGGGGAGTTAAATATACTGGAAGCCTTTTATGAGCTTCTAGAACTGCCTCTACAGTTTTACACACCCACACCCACCCAATGCCTGTATGCTGAGGTGCAGATTTGTACGTGACTGTATTCGTAGAATCATAGAATGATAGAATGTCTTGGGTTGGAAGGGACCCCTAGAGGTCATCTAGTCCAACCCCCCTGCAGGAGCAGGGACACCACTAACTAGATCAGGTTGCTCAGAGCCCCGTCCAACCTGGCCTTGAATGCTTCCAGGGATGGGGCCTCCACTACCTCTCTGGGCAACCTGTTCCAGTGTTTCACCACCCTCACTGTAAAGAATTTCTTCCTTATATCTAGTCTAAACCTACACTGGTTTAGTTTAAAACCATTACCCCTTGTCTTGTCACAGCTGGCCCTACTAAAAAGATTTTCCCCACCGGAAATTTTTTCCACCGAAGCCGTGCCTTTCATTAAATAGCATCCACCTGATCTGTAGATGTACACAGGGTTGTGTATACTTAAACCTTGTCTGTAGAAAACTTGCTTCACGGTTGGAGATGAAGCTGCCATCCTTCAGTCAAATGACAGCTGTCTTGAAAAGGGGTCTGTAAACTTCTACGTGCTACTTACTACACAGGTTATCTGTAGAATTCAAAGAATTACAGATTTTCTAGGTGCCCAGCATGAAGCCCGCACCTGACTTGCAGAACCACTGAGCACTGAGCCAGGGAGCTGTATGCCTCCCTCCCAAAACCATGGTTTGACTGTGGGTACAGTCACTATGTAAAAAAGTGGTGTTGGCAGATGATCGAGGCCCAAGTGGTGAATATGCCTACAAATCTCTGCTACCATTCTGCCTGTGAAAAACGTCAGTAGTAATGTGATTTAATGGATTTTGCCTTCACAAGAGCTCTCTGATGAGTTTCTATAGAGCACAAAGCCACTGTGATAAGCAGAAAGACACAAATTATTAATTTCCTATTCAGTGACGAATGCAGGTGACATATGACAGTGAATGAAGTCATAAGCTGAGTGAGTATGTAAAGAAACAGCAAACAGATTGAGTTCAGTGAGATTGGGTAAAGGTCCTGGAAACAAAATAGTGAGTGCTTAGCCAGGGACTGTTGCAAAAGGGACGTTTTTGCTGAAACTTCCCAAATCGTTGTCTCCCCCTGACCTGTCCCTCACCTAGCAG